TACACAATGTGTTCAGCCAGCTAGGCATGCAAAGGCTCCTGCAGCCAGGATCCCTCAAGCCTTGGCTACTGCTCAAGTAGATCTTGGCATCAACCGTGTGGTTCTGGTTGTACAGGATTGAAGGATGCTGGAGTTAGGGGGTCATGAGACCTTCACCAAAATTTCAAAGGAAGGCCTGAGAGGCTAGGAAATGTTCCCCAGGGTCAGAGTCCTGTGGACAGGCCCTGAGAGTACAAAGCCTGGAGATGTGAGGAGGAAGCCCAAGCTGCARTAGAGATCCCAAAAATCAAGAAATGACAGTAATATGGGACATTGTCCTAGGAAAGTTTCAGAAATTGAGCAGAGACAAACCAACAGAAAGGGCATTTGAGCTACAACCAGCAAGGCCACAGGGGAGGAAATATACATGTCATTTGGAGAAAACATCACAATGTCATGTGCTCTAGACACTGGACACAAAACTTACAGGACTTGTTTGCCCAGCTGGATTTCATTTTTGCTTTGGTCCCATCCCTTCTTTCTATGCCCTGTGTTTACCGTAGACCTTTACATATTGAACACTTTAAATTGCTTTTGATTTTTCCAGGAGCTCACACTGCAAGATTGCCTTGAGTCTCAGAGAAACATTGGACTTGAACTTTTGGGCAGTTTTGGMTCTATTGAGACTGTGGTGACTCTTGGAAATGGATTAAATGTATTTTCCATTGTAAGATGAGTATGAGCTTTTTGGCCCCCCAAAAAGTCTAGATATTAGGTGTCCCCCCAAAGCTTGTGTTTAATATAATGCAAGAAGGATTAGAGGAGAAATGGTTGAATTATGAGGGGATTAACTGTGGAAACTGAAGGCTGATAGAGTGTGGTTAGAGGAGGTAGGTCATTGGGGACGTCCCTTTGGTGTATATATTTTGTACCTGGCAAGTGAGTCAGTCTCTCTCTCTCTCTCTCTCTCTCTCTCTCTCTCTCTCTCTCTCTCTCTCTCCCTCTCTCCCTCTCTCCCTCTCTCCCTCTCTCCCTCTCTCCCTCTCTCCCCTTCTCTCCCTCCCTCCCTCCCTTCTGATCCTCATGTGAGCCGCTTCCTGGTACCACATACCACATTCTATTGCTTTGATGTTCAGCCTCACCTTGAGCCTCAAGGATGGAGCAGGCTGTCTATGGACCAAGACCTCTGAAACCTGGAGCCTCCAAATAAACTTTTCCTCCTCTATAATTGTTCTGATTGGTTCTTTTATAGAATTTTTTATATAATTGTTCTGGTCTGCTCATATCAGAGAAAAAGCTGGCTAAAACAGTTGGCCAGTATCATTCACCATTGTTTCTCCTTTGCCTCTCTGTTTCCCTCCCAAAGGTTGCTTTTTTATTARATTCTCTAAAACTTTGTATTTGTTGTTGGTGTTCAGCTGCCTTGATATATTTTTATAACAGTTTTACCCAGATACAATTCATATACTGTAAAATTACCTTTTTAACGTTTATAATTAATTAGTTTGAGTTACAGAGTTGTAAAACTGTCACCTACTGTGGAATTCCAGAATAGTTTCCTCACCTCAAAAAGAAACCCTATACCCATCCTTTTTTTTCATCAGTACCCATCCTTTTTTTCCCACTATGTTCTGGAAATCACAAATTCACTTAATATTTGTTGGTATGTATGGACTTGCCCATTCTGGACTTTTCATATGAAGGAAATCATACAATATATTATTTTTCATGTGCGGTTTCTATGTCTTACAGTAATGTTTTTTAGGTTAATACCTATTTTATCATGTCTCAGTATGTCGTTCTTATTCCTGGTTAAATAATATTTCAATTCATGGATATGGTATGTTTTGTTTATCTCTCTATCAGCTACTGAATATTAGGAATGTTTATGTTTTGGGGCTTTTATAAAGATGATGCTATGAATACTTGTGTACAGATTTTTGTAGGGACAGTTGTTTTCATTTGTCCTGGGTTTATTTCTAGGGGTAGAATTTCTGGGTCCTATGGTGATTCTGTGATTGACATCTTGAAATTTTTATCTCTTTTCCAAAGCTGTACTGTTTTACAATTCCATAGCAGGGTATGATCACTGTACTTTCTCTATATCTTTGGAAACACTTATTTTTRAAAACTATTTTCTTAAATTGTCAATGGACCTTTATTTTGTTTATTAATTTATTTATATGTGGTGCTGAGAATCAAACTGAGTGCCTCACACATGCTAGGAAAGTGCTTTGCCACTGAGCCACAACCCTAGCCTTGGAAACACTTATTATTATCCTTTTTAAAATATTTATTTTCTAGTTGTTGTTGGATGATTATAATCTACTTTTTGTTTAAACCTATCTTAGTGGATGTGAAAGGGATGTCTCATTGTCATCTTGATTTGCATTTTCTGATGCTAATTATGTTGAACATTTTTAAATGTGTTTATTAGCCATTTGTACTCCTTCTTGGGATTAATGTCTATTAAAACCCATTGCCTATTAAAATTTTTTATTTTCAAATTAAAATATTCTTGGGCTTTTTTGGGGGAAGTTTTAGTTTGACAGAAAAATGAGTTGAAAGTACAGAAAATTCACAAAAGCTACATTTACTGTTGACCTTGTTTCCCTTATTATTATTGTCTATCCTTAGTATAGTACATTTTTAACATTCACTAAAACAATATTGACATAGTTCTAATTGAAGTCTAGAGTTTGCACAAGTATTTACTTTGCAGGGTACAGTCTGTGGTTTTTTTTTTTTTTTTTTTTTGTAAATGCATCGTGACATTTATCTACTGTTACAGTAGATTACAAAATAGTTTCAATGAACTGAAAATCTCCTGAGCTCTACCTATTCATCTTGCCTTCCCTCAAAATCCCTAATTATCATTGATCTTTTTACTGCTACAGTTTTGACTTTTATAGATGGTCATTGTTAGAATCATACTGTATATACTTTTCAGATTCTTCAAATTGACTTTTATTGCTTAGCAATATGCATTTAATGTACCTGTATAACTTTTCATGGAATGATAGCCCATTTTTTTAGTGTTAAGTAATATTTCATTATTTGGATATATCATAGTTTATTTATCTGTTTACCTCTTGAAGATCATATAAGTTACTTCCAAATGTTCGTAATCATCAATGAAGCTTTTTAAAAGATTTCTGTGCAAGTTTTTGTTGTTGACCTAAGTTTTCATCACATTTGGGTAAATATCCAAGTAGCACAATTGCTGTATTTTATGGTAAGAGTATATGTATTTATKTAAGCAACTGTTAAATTGTCTTCCAAAGTAGCTGTGGAAATTCTTATTCCCATTAGCAATGAAGAGTGTTTATGTTGCTCCATATTTTCATTAGCCTTTGTACTTTTGGACATTAACAACATTTTAATAGGTGTGTAGTACAATCTCATTGTTCTAACTTGGAGTTTCCTGATGGAAAATGATATTGAGCATCTTTTGTATGCTTATTTGCTATTTCTATCCAGTTTGATACTATGTATCTGTGGGTTATACATACATKGATTCAACCAACTGCAGATTGAAAATATTGGCAGAATTTATAGTGAACATACACAGATTTTTTTTCTTGTCTTTGTTCTCTAAACACTACACTACAACATATGTTTACTTAGCATTTATATTGTATTAAGTATCATGCAATCTAGAGATGATTTAAAGTGTACAAAAATGTGTGTAGGTTATATGTAAGTATTGTTCTATTTTATACAAACAACTTGAGCATCTACAAAGTTTGGTACACTCTCCCCCATCCATCTGTGTATATTCACTGTAATCAATTCCCTATGAATACTAAGGGACAGCTATATCTCCTTACTATATGTTTATTGCTTCAGTTATGCATTTGTCACAAGTAATGGAATGACAGATAGATGTGTTTTAAGAATTTTAAATGTTAGTACATGTATAAACCCAATTCTCAAGATTATTTAAAACATATTCACTTATTTCTGCTCCTGTCTTCTAAAGACTGGAGCCCAGTCTGCTGAAGGTAGTTCTGCTTTTTTGGCTTATTGGTCCCTAACCATCCTCACCTTCCTCTTTCTTGGCCTCTTATGTGACAGTAATTCTATTTCCTTTCCAGATTCCCAGGCATATACCTCTCTTTTTTTTTTTTTAACTTTCTGAATTACTATAATAACTAAAAAAAAAGTGTTATTTTTCTGGCCATGTAGTTGGCATTTTGGTATTTTTAACAGCCATTAGAATATTGTTGGAATGTATATTCTTTGTTAATAATCTACTTAACTTATTACAGTAGAATAAGATATTAAGAAATCATATTATTTAATATTTTATTTTCAGGCAATGTGAGCATAACTTTGAACTTTCCCAAAGAAAGTTTGTGTGGTCTATAAATCTGCCAGGACTCTGTATGTCTTTTTTAAAAACTTAGCACCTGAGCCCCTTTCATGGAGTTAACTCCTAGTTTTTTTTTTCACTGTAACTCAGAAAACAATAGGATTGTAAGAGTCTCCTTTGATCCCTGCTTAATTTTTTTTTGAAAAGTTTTWTTTATTTTTTTATTATAGTTGCAAAAAAATTTACATAAGTAACAGCAGCTTATTTCAAATATTTCTTACAAATCCTAAACTGGTGCTTCTCAAGGTACATGTGGTAAAGTACCAGTTTCTATAATTTCCAATTCACCAGACTGATAGTTTTGCAAAATATAGTACAAATGAATTGCTAGAAAAGTAAAAGTTTTAAAAATATAGAATACAGGCCTCAATTCTTATTATCAGAATCATAGATAAAAATTTAGTCTGCCAAATTGCTATAAAAGATTTTAAACATTCTCAATTCTGTATCTTATTGCTGAGCAGTAACAAATAGTTCATGGACTAGTAATAGTTTGCAGTTAATTTCTGGTGTACAGACTGTATTTTTTAATAGCACATACATAGCTTGCTGTTTAGGGTGTTTAATGTTATTTCAGGAGCATCTTGGTGATTATGATGTATAATTGTTGTCCTTTAAAAATTATTTTCATGTGTTTTCTTTTCAGAATCGAGAACTCCAGATCATGAGAAAGCTAGATCACTGTAACATAGTCCGATTGCGTTATTTCTTCTACTCAAGTGGTGAGAAGGTAGGTGTGACGGATAGTATGTATTCAATATTGTGATAAACTTGGTATTCTTCTAAAAATAATACTTCCCATACCTTTACCCTAACAAAATAGTTTCGCTAATTGAATGAAAGCATTCAAAGCATAGGCCCCAGTGATTTTGAGCATAAGAAATGGTCATTGAATATCATTAGTTATAGCAGGAACATGCTAATAAGAATATAAAGGGAATGATTTTTTGAGAATTTTCTCCTTTTAAAAAAAAAAACAGCTATCTTAAGTTCTAGAAGGTTATGTTTTTTTCTTGATACTTCTATGTTTTTTATGGAATCCTCATTTCATCTGTTTATTATAAGGAGGAAAATTGTCATTTTGCTAAGTGGAAGTTGATGCGAGGTGAAGAGAGGAAGTGGGAGGACTCTGATAGGACTAGAATGAGGGTTAAACTTTAGAAAGCAAGTTTAATTGGTCTTTGATCAGAGAAAAAAGATATAGTATTATATTACAGAGCTTATTATAAATTGTCACTATTTCTGATCACASTTAGTTTTGTGAAAGTAAAGGATAGTTAAGACTTTGAGCTGTGAATGTTCGTCTTCCTTGGTCCTCCGTTGGTCTTTCTCCTCAGAAGATGTAATAACTTATGGCAGTGGAGAAGAAAGCAAAGAAAACCAGTTTCTACTGTTGTACCTTGGTCTTTTTCTTTCTGCCCATCCTTTTCCCCAGTTTTAATATTTCCTTAAATTTTTTTCTTTACTGGTTTTGGATGGGGGACCTGGCAAGTAACATGGAAATCAGGGATTTTTTTTGGTGGTGGTGGTGGTKGTTTTGAGGGGCAAAATAAATATGACTTGAATAAATTCACTTGATATTTTGGACTTAAGATTTTATGCATATAAYCTGTAATGTTCTTAGATCCATAATGTCTCTTGATTTCTAATCCAATATTAATTTACTTAACTGTTTGTAGATTAATCATTTTCCATTAAACTTTACTTAGATTTTCTTGGAAATTCTTTTTCTTTTCCCATGACAAACCCAATGATATAGAAGAAGACCTATGTATTTTAAGGCAAGGTGGTGTGATATCCATGTCTGTGGATCTATTATGTGTTGTGTATATATTTGTGTGTCATAGCTAATATGTGTGACCAGCCATACTTAGTAAATATGTCCTTTATCAACACTTGTTCCTTAGTCATTTTTAAGTTTAAATTGTGCCTCTGTTTGTATTGTGAATTGTAAACCTCATAGATATTTTCAGTTCTCTTATTTCTAAACCCAATTACTTGGTTTATGCACCTACTGCCTATTACTCTCTTTAATATTATCTATTTTGGCAAGTCTTTGTTTTTCTGTACCTTTCCAAATAAGATTATGAAGCATATATTATGTTCCCAGCACTCTTAAAATGAAATTTTGCATCCTCATGGCTTTTTGTTAGTAGATGCTAGACATCATAATACCCCAGGAAGTAATAAGAATACGAGCCTAAATGAGGCCATGAGGAAGCATTAGGGGGATGAGTTGAGGTTATTGCAAAGATCAAAAGGAACAAGAATTCATTGTTTCAGGATTATAGAAATGAAAGGCTCTGGTAGGTTCTAGGTTAGATGAGTTCAAAAGGTGTATGGAAATTTTAGAAATCTGCCATATTCTGTACCATCTTTAACTCTTTCCCTTTTTGTCATTTTCTTTCAGTCTTTCTCCACTGCTCTCTATTGAGTCTCTGTCTCCCTTTTTGGATTTCTGTTTTTCTGTCTGTGGGTTTTGTCTTTCTCTTGGTCTTTGTTACCCACTTCTTTCCATTTCCTTTCCCTCTGTAACTCTGCCTCTAGTTTCTGCTCTCTTCTCTCTTGGTTATTATATTCTGTGGTTCTCCATCAGTCTTTTTCTGGGTTTCTGTACCTCTCTTTTGTTGGATTTCCATGTATCTTACTTTCTTTGTATTTGTGATCCTCTACAAATTTCTTTATAGATTCGTGCCTGGCTTGAATTTTTCTGTTTCTTAGTGTCTTTTCTCTCTGGGCCTTTATTATTACTCCCTTTTGATTTAAAAATATATATATATATATTTTTTTCACTGTCACTGTCCTAATCTTTGAGAGTTCTATGTATCTTATTCCATATGTGCATGTTTATATAGGTATATATTCTTAACTACTTAAAACCTTTCTGAATATTAATGATCTAATTAAACTTCCCCTATTATATCATAATATTTAGTTACGTAATATTCTGTTAAGTTGTACTATGTAATATTCTCTATTTCCCTTTGGTTATTTTTAATTTTAGAATTGTAGCTAACCTGTTTTTGTCTATAAGCATTTTTCAGCTCTGGGTGTAGTTAAAAGAGTTATTTCTATAATATTAGGTAAACATTTTTATTGACTTCAGAGTGGCTGAATGAGATGTCCATTTTAGGGAGCTTCTTTGTGTTGTATTTCACCCTGTCATTTTAAAGACTTGGTAACTAGAAATATTTGGGTTTCCATTCCAGTTGTGCCACATGATAGCACCTTATCACTCTGGGCAAGATATTTACTTTTGTAAGTTTGTCCCCTGCTTTCTGTATAGTAGAGATTTTGTAAGGAACAAATTTAAAAATGTTTGTCCAGTGCTTATAGCACCTTGYATGTAAACATTAATTTATCATTTTACAATAGCAAATATATATATATCACACTTGTTGTGCATCAGATATTGCCCTGAGCTCTTACCTGTACTTTGTAACTCACTTAAACCTCCTTATACCCCATGTGAAGAATTGTTACTATTGTTATCTCAATTTTTATAGAAAAAGAAACCAAGAAAATACCATTTAAATTACCCGAGTTATACAGTTATAAATGAAAATGTTGGGAGTTAACCCTAGGCAGTCTGATATCAGAGTTTTATAATATGCTTTTCTATTTAGCCTAGAATGTGAATTTCTGCAGAAGCAGTATACCAGAAAGGTAACATTGAAAAATACCTTAGCAATGATGCTTGAATAAGGGAATATTGTAATAGTAGCAGTAGTAAAAATAGTTATTGTAGCAATAATAATAGTAGTAAAGGTAATAGTAATGATAGTTAAAAATTAATATATTCTTTCCAGGGCATTAATCTAAACACTTTAATTTTATTTAGTCATTTAATCCTCACAACAGTCCTATGGAATGGAAGCAGAGAGAAGCTAAATGACCTTCCCATAGAATCACTCAAACCAGTGTTTTAAACTTTGGGTCTACAAAAGATGTGTGACCCTTCTCAAATGATTGTGTCTTTTATTATCATTACTARTACTTCTACTACTATTATTACTACTGCTTCTATTATAATATGTCCTTATTCAGCTATCATTACTACAGATTATGTATTTTTTAGTGAGACCTAGCTTGTATCTTTTATTAGATTCTGAAAGAGTTCTCTACCCCAAAAAGATGAAGAACAATTTATTGAGTCATTCATCTAAGAGACAAGGAGATGTGATTATAGCTAACTGTATAAATATTAAGAGCAAATGTTTTAATTTTTTTGTAGGGGAAATACTGGTGACAGGGGTCTTTAAACACTGAGCTAAATCCCTGGCCCCTTTTGTTTTTTATTTTGAGACAGGGTCTTGSTAAATTGCTGAGGCTGGCCTTGAACTTGGAATCCTCCTACTTCAGCCTCCTGAGTTGCTGGGATTACAGGTGTGCACCACCATACCCAGCTATTGTGTTTTTAATTAGATGAAACTTCTAAGTTATAGAAAGAGTWCCTCATCAACTTTACAATCTGTAGCTTTCTCCCCCCTTTCTTTTTCTTTATCTCTACCTTCCTTCCTGTGTGAAAGTCACAAATAGCAAGGAATTTTATTCACATGCATAAGGGCACACATACATGCACAGTTGTTTTCATAAACTTGATTCCTAAAAATGGCATTGCTGAGTCAAATTGGGAGTCTGTATGTCTTCACTTTTGGCTGAAATGGGTTAACCTATTTACTTTCCCAAAAGATTGCATGAGTTTTGAGTTTCCACCAGAATGGTGTTGTGGTGCATTTTGGAAAGTGACCTTTTCTCATACTTAGGTTTCTTAGGATTGAATTATCTTTTCCTGTTTGATAGGTGAAAAATGATAACTTCATTATATTTTTTATTATATTTCTTTAATTATTAGTAAGGTTGAACATCTTTCCACATTTTTGTTGGCTATTTGTGTGACTGTCTATYTTCATGCTCTGTGTTGGTCAGCTTTTCATCTTTGGGACAAAATACCTGAAAGGGAGGGGAAAAAAAAACAAAACAAAACAAACAAAAAACCTTGGAGGAGGAAAATTTATTTTGGTTCATGATTTCAGAGGTTTCAGTCTATGGTCAGCTGGCTCCAGTGCTTTGGGCCTGAAGTAAGCAAAACATCAGTGCCAAAGGATAAAGTACAGGAATGCCACTTACCTCATGGCAAACTGTAAGCACAGAGAACAAATGAGAGAGGAAGGGGCTGGGGACAAGATATACTCTACCAGGGTGTGCCACCTATTACCTACTTCCTTCAACCATACTCCACCTCCTACAGTTTTTACCACCTCTCAATAATGCCATCAAATGATTCATTATTTGCATTAACCTACTCATCAGTGCATTAACCTACTCATGAGGTCTGAACCTTCATGATCCACTCAGCTTTCTAAAGGTCCTACCTCTGAATATTACTGCATCGGTGACCAAACCTTCAACACATGAACCTTTGGAGACATTCCATATCCAAACCATCTTTCATTTCATTTTTTTTCTATTTGAATATTGGTCTTGTCTTATTCAGTATTTAAATAAAAACAAATTAGTCCTTTGACATGTGTAACTGAAATAATTATTCTCCTAATTATCATAGTTTTTAGAAATAATTTATGTGATATTTTTTAAAGTAATATAAAAGTTTCATATTTTTATGTAACCAATTTGGCATATTTTCCTTAATAGCTTATAGCTGTTTTTGTCCTCCAAGGTTTGCAGAAACACTCATATTTTCTTCTAATACATTTGCAGTTTTTTTTAAAAAAAACATCTTTTTATAATTTGGGTATTTATTTTAAGATGTCAGATGGGGGAGAAAGCTTACCTTACTTGTTGTTTGCTAGCTGCTTACCTCCCCTTTCCATTCCTTCCCCAAAGTTTCAAAGCAGAAAAGATTTGCCCTAATCCATACACCCTTTGCCTTTCATGTTATTTCCATCTTGCTAGCCCATTTTACCCATCAGAGGAAAGATAACTGTTGTGAAGGTCTTGCAAGGAGAATCCTGGTCTACCATGACACTGGGTTGAATGTCTTATTACTATGCTTTGTATCCCATCATGGTTCTATTTAAAACTGTAGCCTTAAGCCATTTTGTTTTCTTGACCTCAGAAGTTATCTGGGCATAAAAATATTATCTAGTTTCTGGAGACATGATAGAGTTACCCCTGCTGTTTTTGATTTGTTAGGTATAATCGTCCTGTCATTTAAGTGTCTTTAATATGCAAAAAATGTTGTCTAAATTTATACCTTCTTTTTTTTGAGGTTTTTGAATAAGACCCACTTTGTATAAAAATATAATTCTTTTCAAAGTAGCAGTGACTTCTTAGCCAGTTTTAGAAGCCTAGTAACAGCTCTTTGAGTTTAATACTTCCTCATGTTGGTGTTATTTCACACAGTGTTTTTATAATCTACATCTGAAGTCCTRTTCTTTAATGTGTTTTATTTCTGTATCAGCTTTTAACTTTTACAACTAATCTGTGAGTTTTCCAGAATTCAGTCAGGTAATCCAAGAGAGATTACATTAAGAAAACAGCAGACYTGAGTTGGGTGCCACTTCACCTGCCTGTAATCCTAGCAGTTTGGGAGGCTGAGGCAGGAGGATTGAGAGTTCAAAGCAATGGCAAGGCACTAAGTAACACAGTGAGAACCTGTCTGTAAATAAAATACAAAATAGGTTGGGGATGTGGCTCAGTGGTTGAATGCCCCTGAGTTCAATCCTCAGTACCAAACAAAAAGAAAAAAGAATAAAAAGAAAAGAAAACAGMAGACCCTGAGAATGTTTCAGGAAATTATAAGTGCTAAAAATGCTGAATTCAGCCCTTTTCTCTTATGTTTCGGAGGATTGAATTCTCCCCTTCCTCAGGGATTATTGTTGTGGCTTTAATTTACATTTAAACATTTATAAATTTAAAAAGATAATTTATTTGAGCCTTCRTATTTTTCATAAAATAATAGAGTGTTGAACTTATAGCATACATTATTTGTTAACCGTCCTTTGATGTACTGCACTTTGCTGCTACCATGAATAAAATATGCTTTAAAAAGGGATATCATCAGTACTTTAAATGAGGCCTGAAATCTGCARCACAGTACTTCTGTCATATCCTGTTGTTGTATTATGTTTTTCATTAGCAATCTCTCAACGAGACTCCTTTTCCATTCTAGTCATTTACACCTATCATTTACTTTGCAAATGGATTATTGCTGTGTATATCTTGATTCTGTCTGGTCTATCATTCTACATAATAAATGTATTTATTTATTTTTTTAGAGAGAGAGAGAATTTTTTAATATTTATTTTTTAGTTTGTGGTGGACACAACATCTTTATTTTTATGTGGTGCTGAGGATCAAACCCAGYGCCCCGTGTATGTCAGGCGAGCAYGGTACCGCTTGAGCCACATCCCCAGCCCTCTATATAATAAGTTGATAGGGCTCTATTACATTTCATGTTGTAAATTTGGTCTTTCATTCTAGCCCATTAGAGTCTTTAAACTTCAGTCTTCCATTTTAAGCCATTTTTCCTAGGTTTGTGTCAATCTTAGTTGGCTGTGTTAAAATTAGAGATTATATGCTGACTGTAAAATCTATCTCCTAATATGTTTTATTTGACTAGGTAGCACATTGCTCTTTTTTTTGCGGCGGGGCGGGGGGATGCTTTTAATAAAGTCTTGCACTGGTTGACCAACCACTGTCCCTTACTGCTTTACAGAGTTTGGCTATACCTTTACATTTGTTATTTAGCTATTGAAGGTATTTGCCCTTACAACCCCTCATAAATGCACTTATAAAGCAATTATAAAGGACAGAGTTCATAGTCTTACTACAAGAAAACCACCATTGAACACAACAGTAGTCTTTTATTCTTTGTATTCTTCCCTTTTAGAATGATTGTTTAGCAAATGAAATAAATTGTAACCCAATGCTGTGCATATCTGCAAGTTGTTAATAAATATATCACAATTAACTTTTCTCAAATGATTTATTAAAATAAAAAAGTTGTAATTAAGAGTTTTTTTWAAAAAATAGTTTTTACTTATAAATGGACACAATATCTTTATTTTGACTTAATTCATTTTTATGTGGTACTGAGGATTGAATCCAGTGCCTCACATGTGTGAGGCAAGTGCTCTGCCACTGAGCCACAACCTCAGCCTGTTATGAGTTTTTTTAAAAAAGAAAACTTTGACATCTGAATCCTCTTTGTATCTGCCATTCACTTTGACCTCACATTGTGATTTGTTTTCACTCCACCTGAAGTCCTCCTTGCATACTCAATTTTCATTGCCTCTTTTATACCTGCACACTTAATTCCTCTGCAGTGGCTAGTGATATATATAATAAATGCTGAAAATTTAAATTCTCTACTTCAGTTTGGTAGCTTAAGATAATTTCATATTTGGAAATTATGGAAGTTTGTTTACCTGTAGTTTTTCCCACTCATAGATTCTCAGCTTCATTTTCTACTTTGATTTATCTAACTGATATCATTTACATGAACAGGGTACAGGTTGTTCCTCTTTCTTATTTGGTTGGAATCCCTTCTTCAGATCKTGAGTTGGTGTCTTTGTGCTGCTAAAAGAAAGGATATTTAAACATATGACCTTTATGTGGTAACTCACTTCCTTAAGAGTTACTCTTTTTGTTAGTTAATTATAGAACACAAGTGTGATTATTTTACTAATTATATACTATTAAGTCACCATAAAATCTTTTTTGGTGAAGATTAGAGACCTTTTTTTTTTTTTTTTTTAAAGTACCAGAACTGAATCCATTATTGCTTTTTCTTTGTTTTGTTTTGTTTTGTTTTGTTTTGAGACATGGTCTCCCTAATTTGCTAAATGCCTCATTCAGTTGCTGAGGTTGGCCTTGAACTTRAGATCCTTCTGCCTCAACCTCCTGAATCTTCTGGAATTACAGGCATGTACCACCATATCCAACTGGGACATTAGAGACATTTTGAACAATATCTAATCAAATTACAGCTGAAGAAACTGAAGCCTRCAGTGATTGACTTGCACAAACTAATTCCATCAGAGCTAATGCTAGAAATCTGTTTTTCTTAGCTCTCAATGCAGTACTCATTTACTACCATACTGCTTTACTGGTAGGATATGAAGACATTAATTCTCAGCTTAGAAGATAGGAAATTTTGTGATTGGCTATATCTTTGAAAATCATGGTAAACAAAATAATAGTTTAAATATGATTGGGAATCTTAACAGTATTGAAACGTCCATGTTTTTAACATGGAATTATTACTAAGGTGTGTACACTTGTTTTTACTGTTTTGGTTATTTTCTAAAATAATTTTGTGTAATTAAAATTGAACACACAAATTTTTTCTTTAAAAATCTGAACAAGTGAATGTATAGGGAATTTACTTTGAGTATTTAAAGAAAGGCCAATTTGTAATCTGTTTTGTTTTTTGTTTTGAATAAACCTTTTTAGAAAGATGAGGTCTACCTTAATCTGGTGCTGGACTATGTTCCGGAAACAGTATACAGAGTTGCCAGACACTATAGTAGAGCCAAACAGACGCTCCCTGTGATCTACGTCAAGGTATGTAAAAATGGAACAATTTCCCATTTTGGAAAATATTTGTTGTGAGCCAGGGAGAATACAGGGTATTTTTAAATTGTATTAYTGCATTTAATTCTCAGGGAGGAAAAACTGCTAAGGTAGATAATGCTAGTTTGGTAAATTTTTGTATGGTTTTAAAATAATGAGATTTCACTTTTAAAACTTTCATGACACATATTAAAGGTATTCTGATAAATTTTAGTGAATTGTTCATAGACAGTTTTGGATTTTTATTCTGCTATCTGTTGTTTATTTTCATTTAATTTCTGATATCTTTATTGTGCCACAGTCCAAAATAGGAGCATATCATGTAGACTCACATAAAATTATATACTTATAAATATGTTCAAATTTAAGGTCTTATTGACATTTATAGGTACATTTATTGTATCTGTAGCAGAAATTTAAACTTTTGGCAATTTTAAACATTTTAATATATTTATTTATTTAGTATTATTTAATTTGTGGTTTCTAATACTGATGCCATCTTACTTATTTAATTTGTTTATTTGGTACTGGGGATTGAACCCAAGGGCATTTTACCACTCATCTACATCTCTGACCATTTTAATTTTGAGACAGGGCCTTGCTAAGTTGCCCTGGYCTAGAATTTGTGGTCCTCCTTCATCAGCCTCCCGAGTTGGAGGGATTACAGGTGTGCAGCACCACATAGGCCTTATAAAATGTTATTGTTGAATGTTTTTATTTCATCTTAAGAGCTGGAATTCTTTCATAAAGAGAAACTTCCCCATTTAATCTTTTTTTATTTTAGTTTTAGTAATCAAAACTAAAATATGTGGTGATGAGGATCGAACCCAGTGCCTCACACATGCCAGGCTCTACCACTGAGCTACAACCCCAGTCCCCCATGTACTTTTATCTGTACTCTAAAGTACAGTTTATATAAAAAGACAGGTATATATTTGATTCCTTACTATTATTTAGCAAAATTTAGAATTGGTTGGTTCCATAACATCCTTCATAGGTGACTAGTTGGGTGTTTTCTTGTTTGTTTGTTTATACTATTTGATAGCTTCCTTGTTCTCTAGAATAGTGTTCCAGGTTCATCTTACACATTTCTTTCTCATACTTGGAATCAACTTTTTCTTCAAGGAGACCATGTTCTTTTAGTAACAAATGTTTTTTAGATATCACAGTCTAAATACTGGAGGTGCTAAATGCTATAGGGTTGGTTACTGCTTCTGAATATTTTTAGTAAAAAGAGCTAGGAGATGTGGGTAATTTTTTCAAAGATATAACACATCTGTTTTTCTCCCCCAAGGGTAAATACACATAAATTCATATTGATACTTCCAATTAAAATTGAGGGTTTTTAAAAATCATATCTTTTTAAAAAATTATTATTGGTTCTTCTTAGTTTTACATGACATCAGAGTCTATTTTTTTAAACCCTGATAATCTTCCACACTTAACATTGAAAATTTCACTTCTCAATGACAGCATTATAATCACCCACTTATTAGCACCTCTAGCTGACAATAATGCAAGATCTTTTTGAAGCATTTTTTAACCTCCCATTCAATCCCATTAGGAATTAACCAAGGTATCTGTTTTAAAGCAACATTGAAGAACTCTCTTTGTGTGATTATACCCCATTAAGCTTTGTAATTTCATTTTACTGTTATTATAGTTGTAATTTTAAAATGCTAAATTAATTTTACTTTTAAATTAACATTTACATGTTTTAATATTTACATGTTTTCAAAGTACAAAATATGTTCAAAGAAGTTCAACTTTTATGTGTTCCTTCTACCAGTTAAATGGTCTTAAATATTTTAAAACAGTTTATTATATCATTTTAAAAAACAAGCAGTGTGTAATTATTTTACCCAATTCTAGTCCCTTTTTCTCTAAATGTATAAATTTTCCCTTTTTGGGGGTGGGTGGGGTATAAAAATACATCCTGGAGATCTCTTTTTATATTTTCCTGGATTGAAAAATATATCCTGGAGATCACTCCATATTTTCATATTTTGCCAGCATATAGTTGGGCTTCATCTCTGACATTCTATCTTTAAAAAATAAAATAAAATTGTGCATATTGAAGTTGACATACCGGAAAGAAATCTCGTACTTCCTCCTTGTGAAAAAAAAGGAATTATTCTTTTTTTTTAAATGACCACAGCTCTTTCTTTTTTTCTTTCTTTCTTTTTTTTTTTTTTAACCACAGTTCTTTCAGAATCAGAACTCTTGGCCGTAGGTATTATTCTCTGGAGATACAAATTTATTTGTGTTTAAAGTCCTGAAAAGAGAAAAATTATTGTCTACAGTTAATGAGTTTATGAGTTGAGCTCCTTCACTTATTTATATTGTGTAGTTTAATTGTAGTCCTATTATTTGAAAAATCTTAGTTTGGGAGATGGAAATAAAAGTGACAAATTACATACAACTCTTTTATGATCACCATCTAATAAGGACTTGTTTGGCATACATGTTACCAAAATGGAAAATGCATTTCTTTGTGATTATTTACTTTCACTTTTTCTAGGTGAGTTGAGTTGTTCTCTGACTATATTGTTTGGAACCTGTTTCTTCACCCCTTTTCTACTACTATTGCCTTTTTTGTATTGATAATAGTTGTAAGATAAAAAGTTTTGAGCACCTGTGTTTTTGTGCTGTGCATCTTTCAGAACTAAGTATGTTTTGAAATGTAATTCTGAAACACATGGCTATCCAATCATTGGTATGAATTTAAATTTTTGTTTGTTTGTTTTTTGAGGTGGGGTGTCACTATGTTGCTCAGGCTGGCTCTGAACTCCTGGGCTCAAATGATCCTCCTGCCTTAGCCCCGTGGGTAGCTGGGACTATAGATGTGTGCACTACACCCAGCTTCAAGTGGGTTTTTTGTTTGTTTTTAAATAATTGGGAAAACAGACTAACTTGTTTAAAGACAAGGTCTGAATATATAAGAGAGCTGGATACATTTTTGTTATTTTGTTATTTATTTTAAACAGATTTGGTGGCACAGAGGGGAGTACATTGGCCTTGAGTTAGMTTAACTTTATTACTATGCTCATTGAGCCTCAATTTCCTCTCCTGGAAAAATAAGGGGAAATGTATATACCACAGAGTGATTGTARAAATTAAACAAATGAGTAGAAAAGCACTTGGTTTTGTGTTTAGTACATGTTAAAATAATGCGTTATATTTCAAATTGGGTTCATTAGAGTAAAGATATGGCAGAATAAAGAAAGTAAAATTTAAAGAGGAGTATTCATCCTCAAACCATTACAGAAGATTGCAAATGTGATAGTGGGCTGTTATTTAATCTCTCTGGGCCTGGTTACCTGAAAGGCCTGGTTTATTTTATAAAATAAATAATAGTAGTATTTATGGATTACATGGGGTTGTTCCAGTATTAAGTGAAATAACACATATAAAGCACTAGAATACTGCCTATCTTCTGTAGAAAGCCTTTTAGGTTTCTTGTAAGTATGCTTTTACAAAGTGGAACAACAACAAGATGTGAAAAGAGTATTTTATTCTTAATCTAAAGAATAAAGAATCAAGTGAAGAGAATGGAGATTATCTTTCAGATGAAAGAATATAGTAAAACGTCATCTTGAAATTAACCTAATTTAAGCTGTTTAGCATTTTTTTAAAGAAAACTTTTTGTTTTCATTGTTTTTTTTGTTTTGTTTTTTTGCTGATGTAGATGTTGAAACCCTCATAGAACCCTCATAGAGTTGGTAAAATCTTTATTTTAGTAGATGAGTACCTGTGAATTCAGTTGCTTATAGATCATTTTCTAGGTGATAAAGAATTAAACTTGCAGAATACATCTTAAGACTTCGAGATTGATTCTGTGAACAATTATACACTTTTATAGAATTACATAGTTTTTAAAAAGATACATGAATATCTGAATATTTTAATTCTAAGTTTAATGGCAAGTGCTGATCTTATTAAATTCATCTTATGTATGCATTTTATGTCATACTTCATCTTAAAGGCGGCTTAAACTTTTCCAACTTAATATTAAAGATGTATTGAAATTTACCTGTTTGTAGTTTCCGTCATGCCTCTGAAGGAAAGTAGGTTTCCTATTAAGTAATCCAACCCTTATCATATGTCAATTCTTTATCTAACCTGTATCTTTTAATTTTATTTCATTTTCATATTTTTATTATTTTACGAAGACACTCTTATCTTTGGTTTGAATCACTTCACAATTTTTTTGCCATGTAATTTATTTTGGGCTAGAGGTCAGAAGGTAAGCAGCCAGAAAAATTACAAAGTGAATTATTTAAAAATTTTTACAAAGAGAACCCAAGATCCAGGGTGGGAGGGAGTGAATTAGATCACTACTGGCCTTTGGATAAACAGAGGATTTTAGTATTCTTTTTTTTCTTTTTTAATTTTTTTTTTTTGTAGTTGTATATGGACAGCAGGCCTTTATTTTATTTATTTCCATATGGTGCTGAGGATCAAACCCAGTGCTTCACACATGCTAGGCAACTGCTCTGCCACTGAGCTACAGCCCCAGCGCAGGATTATGGTATTCTTATAGTATGTATCAACTATATATCTCTTTTAGTAGTAGAATTGAAGAAAATTATCTTTTAAGGTGATGTCAGTAGTCACCTAGGCATGTGTTTTTAAATGGTATTTAAAATCTTATTTCTGAAGGATATTAATAAAAAGAGTGGTGATGCTACTAAAGGATTACTGATGTTTTGATAGGTAATTGCTAATTTTTTTTCAGCACACCTGTGAGTTTTCAGTAACCTTAGAAACTGACATATCAAGGGAAAAAAAGTTTCTGAAGATGACATTGGAAATACTTTTCACATTAAGCAGCCTGACATACTAGAAAGAATAATGAACTAAAAAATCAGAAGACTTGGCTTCTCATCCAAATATTGGTTTTGAGTCATAGGATTTGGGATATCTCTCTTGAGTTTTATAAATAGAAACTCATCTTAGCTAGTTGGAGGTAAGATGTTAGTAAGTAAGAGCTTATAAAGCTCATTGTCAGGTTTCCTTTTTTAAGTTATTAAAGGACGGTACAAATACATGGTTAATGATATTTAAGTTAGCTAATTCATACAGACATGACATGAATCTTGTTTAAGGAAGATTGAGTAATCACCAGTATTCACCTGTTCTGTGTTGGGAATGTTACTATTTTGTGGCTTAGTGTTTCTAGTTTGATTGAAATAGGAACTATTCAATTAATGCTCATTATTTATTCCAGTTGTATATGTATCAACTGTTCAGAAGTTTAGCCTACATCCATTCCTTTGGAATCTGCCACCGGGATATTAAACCACAGAACCTCTTGTTGGATCCTGATACAGCTGTCTTAAAACTCTGTGATTTTGGAAGGTAAGCTAGCTTCCCCTTCGGCACCTTTTCTATCACTCCCTGTCCCCAAAATAATCATTTTATTAAATATATTCCTTTTACAATTCAGTCTAGACCCTTACTAAGGGAGCATAAACTAATGCAATTCTTTGTAAGGGTAGTTTTGATTATTTCTGTTAGAATTATAAGTGTGTGTATTCTTTTAAGTGACAATTTAACTTTTAGGAATTATTTCATTGAAAATATTATTTTACAAAATACTGTGTGTATAGAGATTTTTAATCATTCATTGTTTATAAATATCTATTTGTAAGAAAATGTCAAAAAATTTTAAGATATATACAAATAAAATGTTATACATGCCACCAAGAAAAAGAATGAGGCAGCTCCTTATGAACTAGAAGGGAATCATTTCTAGTAAATATTAAATAGAAAAAGCAAGGTCAAGACTATAGTATGCTACCTTTTGCTTTAAAAAAATAAACTGTGATTATATGTGTGTGTGTATATACATTTCAAAATATATATGTGTGTATGCATATATATATGTATATCCATATGTATATAATGTATGCACACATGCATATGACTTGTTTCTAAAATAATATGTAATCTATAATATTTCCCCTGGGTAGAGAAATTTGGGGAATATAATGTAGTTGGGATACTCACTTTTTCATTGATTATATTTGAGTGTTGTTCAAATGTATATTATGTGTATATTAATGTCTTCAGTAAGAACTAATTAAAATATTATTTATTTATTTATTTTTATTGTTGGTTGTTCAAAACATTACATAGTTCTTGACATATCATATTTCACACTTTGTAAAATATTTTTTATTATACATTGCTATGTATCCTTTTAACTTCAGAATTAACCTCAATTCAGGAATAAGGTAAAAGGTGGTTCTAGTTGCAACTTTTATTTTCCTCTAGTAATCTCTTATTCTCCCTTCTTTTATGTAAATTCCTACAAGTTTGTTGAATTCTTAAACTTATTCTTTGGTAATATACTGTGACTTGGTAATAAAACCTTATCCTTTCCATTTCCATGTAGTCAAGCCTATATTCCCTTCTAGTACTGACAGTTATCCTGTTAGTTCCTCTCTGATATTATCATCTAAAACAATCTTTTGCTCTTTTCTGCCCTGAAGAGATCTCTGTGTTAACTTGGATTTTCCAGGTTTTTTCATCCTTATCACAAATTCTTATTTTTCAACTTAACTTTGTAGATTACATATTGACTCAGACCTGGTAGTATCTGTGTTCTTACTTCTTTATAATACTTTCACATCCCACAGTTCAAATTTTAGGTTTCACATAGGATATATTTTCCACAGGCTGTAGTAGAGAGATCCTTAAAAACCAAGCATATCTACTTATCATAAATTAATTCTTAATAGTGTCAGAAATGTATTCTCTTTCAGCCATCCCATTTTACTATTTCCTAATTTTAAACACCTATCCTAGGACACAGTTCACTATAACTCTGTCCTTTGAACTATAAAAGTGGGGAAAAATCAAATCAAAACTTTGGGGCTGGGATTGTTAGCGCTTGCCTAACACGTGTGCGGCCCTGGGTTTGATCATCAGCACCACATATAAATAAATAAAATAAAGGTGTTGTGTCTACCTACAACTAAAAAAAAAAAAATACTTAAAAAAAATCAAAACTTTTGATGCTTAAAATAAAGTATGACTACTTATTTTTTGTAGGATAGTTGCCCAAATTAGATGAGTTTTATCATTATGCATATCTTTCCSACTGAGAATAATTGACTGCTAAGTACTTTAAAAAGACTATGACACCAAGATTAGTAGTTTCTTTTCTCTCTTAGTGTCAAAACACAGTTGGGACAGGCCATGTTGTTAGAACATAATATTTTATGTTCTAATTTGTGATAAGGATGAAAAAACCTGGAAAATCCAAGTTAACASAGAGATCTCTTCAGGACAGAAAAGAGCAAAAGATTGTTTTAAATGATAATACCAGAGAGGAACTAACAGGATAACTGTTGGTACTAGACAGTTTATGGTGATGAAGGGTAAAAAAATTTAAGGTCATTTAGTCATCACTGACTAGAAATAAATTGAAGAAAAGAAAGCCTAGACTTTATTCTAATAAATTTGGAACAGGGATTTTATTTGTATGGTAAGACTGCATTTTTATAAACTCTTTGATAACAAAGGTGCTTTCTTGGTTTTTAACAAAATTGTTTTGGGCAAGTAGGGTTTGAGAGACACTTGATACTCTTAGGTACTAGGTTGGTGGAGATTTGAACAGACCAGTATTAATGTCTTATTATTAATTCTTTACTGGGTGAAACAGCACCTGAAGGTAGCTGAAGGGCTACATGGGCTAAGAATTCTCTTGGGTAGGGAGTTTTACAAACAGCCTTATTTTGTAAAAGAAAGAGGGTAGACACATATATCAAGTAGTGAAAGAGTCTATAGACTACAAAGCTTTCATTGTTACCATTTGACTTGCAGTGAATTTTTAAACTGTAATTGGAATCTATTTTGTTTTAAAAAGTGGACTTTTAAAAGTAGAAAAGTTTCTTATCACCTGTGCTTGAAATGAAATGTTTTAATTTTTAGAAAACATAAAAATACGTTTCATTTTTGATTCATGAAATTTTTGTTTGTCAGTACTTAGGGAGGGAGAGGGTGAAAAATAAACTTTTAAATCAATGATGAGCAGGGGATAGTGGTGCAGGCCTGTAATCCCAGTGGCTCAGGAGGCTATGGCAGGAGGATCACAGGTTCAAAGCCAGCCTCAGCAAAAGCAAGGTGCTAAGCAACTCAGTGAGACCCTGCCTCTAAATAAAATACAAAATAGGACTGGGGATATGATACAGTGGTCAGGTGCCCCTGATTTCAATCCCTAGTACCCCCTGCCCCTCCAAATGGTGATGAAGGGTAAAAAAATTTTAAGGTCATTTAGTCATCACTGACTAGAAATAAATTGAAGAAAAGAAAGCCTAGACTTCAAAATCCTTATGACTATTTTCATCCATTGTTATTCTGATTTTCCTGTACCTTTATGTCACATTTTTCTTGGCACTTACTTTTTAAAATTTTGTTGCATGTATTTATTTTCTGTATCTATGTTTGATGTTATTATGGTTAGCTTCTTCCGTAGCAGCTTATTTAAATGGTTAGCTTCTGTAGCAGCTTATTTTTTCTTCCGAGACATCTCAAAATATATTATGTACAATTTACTATAATGTTTAAAATACATACTACAAAGTATTTTAGAGTTCAAGTTGAAATAAGAGAACACATAGACTTACCACAAGAGACCGAATTTATAGGTTGTGAATAATTTCTTCCCTAAAGTTTAAGGCCTATCTTTTTGTAGTTTACTGGATAATGAGTATGTAAACAGTTAATAAATAAACCAAAATGTGGAAATTAAAGAGATTAGGTGTGTATTCCTTCAGATATTCATCCCGAGTCAGAAGTAAAATTGTAAGGATCGGGCCACATTTCTCACTCTTTTAAAGAAATATGTTGAATTAGAAATATTCCTTCTTCTATTCTGATCTGTTAGCATGCCTTTTGGTAGAGAGAGGTGTCTCTTCATTTTGTGCCCTTCCATCTTAATATTTTAGAAGTAGAATTTGGGAAACAGAATCAGAAGAAATTCAACATTTATTCTTTTCTGACTTTTTAATCTCTTTTTTATTAGGCAACAATTGAGCTACTCTGCCTTTTAAAATCTCTGTTCTATTTTACTGAAAAAAAAATGTGAGAAAATTGTAGGTTGGGATAGTTATGGTTCATATTTTCTCTTTTGTATATTGGATGATTGGAATGATATGAAGCTTAAAAGATAAACATTTGGTATTGTGCATGATAATTATAAGTTCCTTTAAAGTTTAAATTTTAAACACTTTTTATTTTTTATATTTTTATAGTGCAAAGCAGCTGGTCCGAGGAGAACCCAATGTTTCATATATTTGTTCTCGGTACTATAGGGCACCAGAGTTGATCTTTGGAGCCACTGATTATACCTCTAGTATAGGTAAGTTCTGAATCTGAATATAATGTTTATAATTATTARTTGCATCTTGATTTTAACAATCATTATTATCAATCTACTTTCACTGGCCTAGAAAGAAGGGTGTTACCTATATTTTTTCTTAAAGATGAAATGTAGAAATATACATACATATATTTAAATTTTACATTTAAGAATTTATGATACACTTTGTAATCTTTAGGATTTTTTTGAGTACTAAAATTATAAAGCTATAGTTGGTTATATATTTGTTTTTACCTTATTAATGGTTCAAATCCTAAGTTGTATACCTTTCTTAAATTTGCATGAAATGTTCAGTTCTGAGCTTGATTGCCAGTTAGAGAATTTAATGTTATTTCATTGTTAATAACACAGGTGATAGGCTGACCATATTATTGAATTCATCCCATGCTGTCTTATTTTGGTTATTTAACTTCAGGTCAGCATAAATCATTAGCAGTTCAACCAAGATCACTGATTCTTTTTTTTTTTTTAATTATTTTTAGTTGTAAATGGACACGATACCTTTCTTTATTTATTTTATGTGGTGCTGAGGATTGAAGCCAGTGCCTCACTTATACGAGGCAAGGTTGAGGTACAACCCCAGCGTCCAGCTCACTGATTCTTTAGAAGTCTGTAGCAGAGATGTTTAGTGATTGAAGGATATGAATGGAGACAATTAATTGGAGTCTCTATTGACCTTTTCTTCCCCATTTTAGCACCCTGGTTAAAATACAGACCATACATGAACAGCTGTACATGAATAGGAAACTAAGAAACAAGGGGCAAGCTTAGGCTATATGGTGCAAGTGGACACAAAAAATTATTTTATTCTTTTATGTTTTTTCTGATTAGAATTCTGTAGTCCAAAATTGGAACATAGAAAAGAATAAATACACAGCCCCCTAAAAACCCTGGAGTACCGAAAACTTAAAAAAAGAAAGAAAAAGAACAACAATTTTGGAAACTTTTTGGCTTTATGATACAAATAAAAATTCTCTAATATGAACAAACTCCTTAAATAGAAACACATTTTCATTTTCATTTTGCCAAAAAGGGATATGCTGGATTACATTTTCATTTGTTCCAAGGTACTAGAGTTTCATCTAGCATTTGTTTTGTACCATCAAGTGCAAATTTCTACCCAGTGAAATAGCATATTCTTTAAGAAAATAGGTTTGCTCTCCAGGACCTCTGAAAATATCCAGAAGACCTAGGGTTCTACAGAGCACACTTTGAGAACTGCTGCACAAAGGGAGAGAGAATATAACACTGTGTGTATGTAATGCTAATGTCTGTGTTATGTGGTAATATGTTAAAAGACAAATGAGAAGTGGTACAAAGAGTATTTTCCCTGAGTTCAAMCTGGATTTGACTTCCAAATCTTGTAATATTGTGCTGAGCTGAGCTGTAAGATGGAAATTAGATATTAACAGTTCTACCTACCTTTGTTAGTGTCTGTGAGAGTCCATAAAATATTTGTGAAAGTGCTATAGAAATGTAAAGTGATGTTCTTTCTGTGGCATTTGTTAATTTGAATGGCCCCTAGAGTAAATTTTACCTATTTGTCTTTGGAAATCTCATTGAATTTTTTTTAGCTACTTTATATTTTATTCAAATATGTGATACTAATGATCTTCAGAAATGACACAGGAATGAGTTGTGCCCAGGTCACCTAAAATAAATGCACTTTGGTTCATCCGAAAAAGTCTCATAACTCTTATCATCTACCACATGGAATGTCTATATAAACTAGGGATTTTGAAGCCCTAGCAAACCTAGATTTGATCTGCCTCTTAAGGCTCTGAAAAAATTGTAAACACCCCCCCCCCCAAAAAAGGGGATATTTTGAAGTATACTAATACAGGAACATTTTTAAGAATAATGTTAGAAATGATARTCACTTAAGACTGATTATATTATCTTACTGAGAGATGAATGAATTAGAACAAAGGCTTTCTTTTTAGGATAGTTAAGCAATATGGACTCTTGAAGAAGCTGTTATTCTGTGACTTTGAGACAGTGTTGTCTTCATTGGGAATTAAAGGTGGATTCCAGGTCTAGGGCTCTGCTATCAGCAGCTTTTCCTTTGACATTTATCATTTCTGTTTACATTTATCATGTTGTTTACATTTATCATGCCTGAATAAGAGTTAAGTATGAAACAGAATGCCACTGTGTCTCAAACCCCAAATAACTAAATTTCAATGGACCAGAACCCTTTGGGGGGGGGGGGCGGTGAACCTATTGTTTAGTTGAATTTTTATTCTGTTTGGAGAGTTTCCCATTTTGTCCTGTGAAGTAAGAACAAAAGAGTTGTGGTATCCCCCTGGTGTTTTAGTCAGCTTTTCTCATTGTGAGTAAAGGATCTGGTGAGAACAATTGTAAAGAAGGAAGGTTTATTTAGGGACTCATGGTTTTGGAAGTCTCATAGTATCCATAGATAGCTGGCTTTATTCCTAGGGGTGACACAGAACAACATGGTGGAAGAATGTGGCAGAGAGAAGCAGCTCACATGGTGATCAGGAAGCAGAGAGAAAAACTTTACTCACCAGATACCAATATATACTCCATAAYTACACCTCCAATGAACCACTTCCTGCAGCCATACCCCACCTGCCTCCAGTTACCACTCATTTCATCCCATTAGAGGTTTAATTCACTGATGAGGGTAGGACTATGACCCAATCATGTCTCCTCCAAATCTCTTGCATTGTCTTACACATCAGCTTTTGGGGGTCACTGCATCTAAACCATAACACCTGGTTTTAGTATTTTGACTGACTTAACATGAATCAAAGGGTACTTAGTATAGTTGTCACCTAATTTTTTGATTTTTAATTTTGGTGAGAACTACTAGGTAATAGTATTCCTTGATTTTATTTCATGTTTTCCATATTTATATTGAATCCTCCTATTACATTCTCGGTTGTTTTTTTAATGCATTCCCCAGTAATTTTTCTGACCTTGCCTTATGAGATGAATTATTCAGTATTATTAAGGAAAAAAGTAGGTGCACACTAACTTCTGTCTAATCAKATAGGAAGGAAATATTTAAAACTTGAATCAAAATAAAATATTTARTAAGATGTACTTTTCCATTTGGATCTGTAAAATTTAGTACAATTGGCTTTGAGTGAAATAAAGAGTTTCTAGTAGGTTTTCACATTTGTTCCATTGAGCAGTTTCTTAAGGTAACACATAGGACTGACTGTCTTGGTCTACATTATAGAACCAGTGTCTTGACTGTCATTACTTGGAGCTGAACAAAATCAACTTGAATTTTCTCAAATGAAATCTATGACTTGTTTTAGGTCAATAAAAGTAATCACTTGAGCAGAGATTTTTGAATCCCTCTTGAGATGTACTATCTCCATACCATTCACTATTATTCTCCTTCCCTACGTGTAGATAGAAAAACCTATCTAGCACTAATATATGTTCACCACCCTAAAGTACTTCAGTCTTGATATAGCAGTAATATATGTTCATCTCCCTAAAGTACTTCAGTCTTGGTACATACAAACCCCAGGAATCTCAGAAACCTGAAAACTGAAAAATAGCTTTTCTTTGCAGGAAATGTTAATAGTAGAATTTAACTGTAGTGATCACTTATATCAGTTAATTTATCTTCACATATTTTTTTGGCAGAAAGAGGGTGTTATTAATGATTAGTCAAGGATAATAGATATAAACCAGGAATATACTAGATAAGCCAGATGTTTGCTTTAAATTAATTTTTAAAATTTACTGTTATTCAATTTATTGATTACATTATTTTTAAAAGTTTTCTATTTGGGATACCCATTTTGACTTAAAAATGAATTATTTTTGATGATTTATGAAATGAAATATATACCTCTCTGTCTTTGCCATTACTTTGCATTTAGAATGATGATATATTTAAGCATATTTCTCTGTCAGTCATGTCACATAAAAGTCAACCATTTAAAAGTCACAATTTTCATTGGTTTAAAAAACAGTGTCTGTGGGAGTTTGAACCCTGTATTGCTCCTCCTCTGTAAGCATCTCCTAACATGCAGAGATTGTGTCACTTTGACTGTTTTTAAGTAGAGAAGTACACAGTCATTCTGTGGCTTTGGAACTTTAATCCTCTCTTGAAGACCTGGTAGTTGAAAATGATACTTTATGCTTTATTGGAATATTCTTATTGGCCTTATTTCATCCTTGTTAAGTGTAACACTAATTTAAAATTGAATTGGGAAATTTTTTGTATTTTTTAAAATCCTGTTTAGGATTATACAATCCTTGTGATATTTGCTTTGTGATCAGCGTAATTTAAGTAAAATTAGAAAATATATACATTTTTTTTTCAACTTAAGTTTCAGAGTCTAATAAATCTTTATGTTCTCTTCAGATGTATGGTCTGCAGGCTGTGTGTTGGCTGAGCTGTTRCTAGGACAACCAATATTTCCAGGGGACAGTGGTGTGGATCAGTTGGTAGAAATAATCAAGGTGAGAAGATTGAATTTGAGTTTTTAACTGAAAGTAATTTTGATGCTGTTTTAGTAATATATCACAAACACAAACACACATGTGCAAGAAACTTAAAAAATGGAGAAAGTGATTCAAGATCATGTAGCAAATTCAGGTGTAGAGCAGGTAAAAGAACCCACTAATAATTGAGTTCTCTTCATGTTGAATAATTCTGGAAAGTCTATTTTCTGTGTCTGATGCAAGAAAGGGATCTGTTTCAAAGCGTTAGATTACTACTTTGAGATGCAGCCCATTGTATATTTGGACAGCTAGAAATCAGCTTTTATTATGCTGAGCCATAATTCTCTATAATTTCAAGCATTTGAGCATAGGACTACAATCAAGTTATTTTAAAGCTTTATACTTCATTCTATAAAAATGTTTTTTCTTTTAGTCAAGGGGATTTTGCTAGTTGTCATTGTGTGCACATGTGGTTGAAAAGACCAGTGTGAGATCCTTGATCTTCCTTACTGTCCATAAAATTTTTTACAATTTTCAGCTGAGACTTCTCTTTATTTTCTAAAAGTCTAAAAATACTTCCCACTATTAAAATTAATAGTGCTGTAATACAGAATTGGGCAAACTATTTCTATTAAGAGCTATATAAAATATTTTAGGCTTTGTGGGCCAAAAGGCAGAATCAAAGATGTTATATATGTACTTAAATAATGAAAGAGAAAACATATTTGCATTCTTTTTTTATTAATAAAAATGTAATAGGAAATGAGCACAATTGTTTTTATTTGTAATGTAGGTATATTAAGCAGAAGAATAAATGCTTTTTTGGGAGGTATAAATATTTCTTTAATTGTAGTTCAATTTAATATTCCATATCACCAAGTTGATTACAAATCAGTAAAAATTAATTCTTAATTCTTGAGCCCTGTTGAAACAGAGTGGGTTCTATAGTTTCCTGACCACTAGTCTAGTACAGCCATTTAGTATTTCTTATATCCCTAGGCTTTCACTTGATATACTTGAATTCATATGCTATAATTCTTTAGGCATGTTGCTGTTCTATTTGTCATAAACATTTGTTCATTAGAATTGTATCATTTCTCTACAAATTATTTTTAAATTTTGCAATGATTTATTTTGTTATTAATTAATTCATACATGATCCAAATRAAATTGCTCAACTTATTTGGTAAGTCCATACCTTGTATCTGCCATAATATCTTATGAACCTTTATCTAGAGCTTGTTTGTGCCACTTTTAGTCATTATAATTTAATTTTTTTCTAATTTAACTTTAGATTTCAGTAGAAACTGTTAACTTTAATCAGGGCTTTAGATACCTTTCTCTGAATTTAAGTGGAAACTGAAAGTGGATAATCATATAGCAAATTGCATAAAGCTTTTTATGTGGTAGATTTGCAGCAGTTAAACTTTGTAAGCAGGGACTTCATTTATTGTCATGTTTTAATGTCTAAAGGTACAAAGCAGATTTCAGTAAAGGTTTGAATTTAATTTAAGCTGCTAGATCATTACCTTTTCATGATTTTGAAATTACCTGGGAATTTATAAGTAGATGTGGTTGTTGTATATGTTGTTTATTAAATTTTATTGGCTCAGATGTTCATGCTAGTAATTTATAGCATGAATAACTCAGTTTTATAAATTGAACAACTTTATCTAATTCTAGCTACTCCCTTTTCAAAATGTTTATATATTTATTTTAGTTATAAATGGACCTTTATTTTATTTATATGTGGTGCTGAGAATCAAACTCAGGGCCTCACATATGCTAGGCAAGTGCTCTACCACTGAACCACATCCCAGCCCCTAGCTACCCTTTTAAAAAAAAAAAAATTATTTTTCAGTTTTAGGTGGACACAATATCTTTATTTTTCATTTTTGTGGTCCTGAGGATCAAACCCAGTGCCTCACGCATGCCAGGCGAGCGCGCTGCCACTGAGCCACAACCCCAGCCCCAGCTAGCTACCCTTTTTAATGTTCCTCTAGGTCCTCTAATAAGAAAGTGTTCATAAAATATTTAGAATCAAATTCAAATTAGAATAAAACAAAGTCATGAAAAATCACTTCTGGCATGCACAACATAACTTTCTGAGATTAATTTTATTTACAGAATTATCAGATAAGAATTTTATATCAGTTGATCTCTGTATAGCTAAAAGAGGCTTGGATTTCACAGCATTTAAGAAAAGAAAAATTATGTTAGAACTTTTGGATAATACGATTTTTTTTTTCTTAAACATATACTAGTTTAATTCTAATTTAAGTATAGATTTATATCTTCCTAAACACATAGTAGACATAGTAAACCCCAATATATCTGATGTGGTTTCATATGTGTGGTGAAAAATCAAATGTCTGGGAAAAAGCTGTACCAGACATATATTCACCGACATAACATTGTCATTTGGCACCTCTGCCATCAGGCATAGAAATGGGATTATTTAAAAACGAGAGAAAGCTTTTGTAATACTGGTAAGGGTGATTTTTTTTAAAAAAGATTTTTTAGTTTTCAGTGGACCTTTATTTTATTTATATGTAGTGCTGAGAATCAAACCCACTGCCTCGCACATGATAGGCAAGCACTCTACCACTGAGGCACAACCTCAGCACCAAGGGTAATATTTTTTAACGACAGTTACTTTTATAATATAATTTTATATGCTCATTGAAGAAGACTTAAGAAAGCACACACATATTTAAAGAAAAGAACAATCATTACTGCTATGTCACATTATTAAAAATAGTTATATAAATATGAATATTTTCTCATGTCCAGAAGTGTATTTTTAATGACTACATAGATTTCATCTATGATTATATTTTGAGTTTCATAATAAGATTCTGAAAAAAATAATATCATTAAGGTAAAGTGACATTGCTTTTCAAAAGAAGTTTACATGACATTGGCTTCTCAACATTTGATGATTGATTCTCTTAATAAGTGACAAATGTCCCCCAGAATTGCCCAAATGGATTAAAGTTGAAGCACTTCCAGACCTAGAATTGCTGTAGGTTTTACTCATATTTTCTCTGAATTTAAATTTTAAGTAAGGAAAGGTTAACTACAGTTCCAAGTTTATTTWCTGGATTAAAACATCACAAAACTGAGAGTTGGGGGGAAACAACCTTTTGTAAGATTTTAAAGATTTTAAAATGTATTAATATGCCTAGAAATATACTTTCATTTTTTCCATAAACATTAACTTATATTTTAGTAATAATTTGACCATTGCTTTTGAAAGAAAGAGTTTTAGGGCAGAATTAGTCAAATTTCTACCTCTTGATAGAATTTCAGTAGCTTCTCTAGTTTTAGTAATTATAGTTGTAAAAACTGTCTTCTAAATTTGGTATGCTAACATTGAAGATAGTGACATTAAATTATTTGCAATAATAAATTTTTATGTGACAAAGTTCTTTTCTTTTGTAAAACAATTTTACTGAAGTGTTAGTTTTTTCAGTGATAATTAATTAATTATGACATTGGGATAGATAGCTTTTACATAGATAAGAAGTAGTAAAATCATATCTCTAATTGAAACTTTATGTAAGAAATTTGAAGATAAAACACAGTGAGATTTAGATAATCTTTTAAATTTTTTTATTAGTTCCTTTTAGGTATATATAAGAATAGGATTCATTTTGATACAAGAGYGTAGAATAGAATTTACTCTCTAATTCAATCTTTAGTAATTTCCCTTTCCCTTCCTTCCTTCCTTCCTCCCTCACCCGTTCCCTTTCCTCTACTTTAGTGATCTTTCTGCTATTTACTTATATTTTTTTTAATTAGTACCTGTGGTTATAAATAAAAGTTAGTTCACTGTGTATGTACATAAGAGAATTATGTCAGATTCATCCCGCTGTTCTTCGCTTATCCCATTCTCTCCTCCCACCTCCTCTATTCCTCTTTACATTCCACCAATCTCTCTCTATTTTAATGGAACCCACCCACCAACCTACACAGGCACACACTTCCCCCCCATTTTGGATTAGCTTCTGCTTATTAGAGAAAACGTTTGACCTTTGACTTTCTGGATATTACTTATTTCATTTAGCATGATGGGCTTCWGTTCTACCTGTTTTCTAGCAAACGTCATAATGTTATTTTTCTTCATGAGTTATACACCATTGTATATATACACCATATTTTCTTCATCCATTCATCTAGGTTGTTTTTTCCATAGCTAAGCTGTTATGAATTGTGCTAAAAACATTGATATGCTGTAACCATATAGTATGTTGATTTTGGATCTTTTGGATATACACCTAGGAGTGGGATAGTTGGGTCACATTGTTGTTCCATTCCTGTTTTTTTAAAATATTTTTTATGTGTTTTAATTCGTTATACATGACAGTAGAATTCATTTATGTACTTTGATATATTATACATAAATGGGGTATAATTTATCGTTTTTCTAGTTGTACATGTTATAGTATTACTTTGGTCGTGCAGTCATATATGTACATAAGGTAATAATGTCAGTTTCATTCTACTATCCTTCCTAATTAAGGAATTTCTGTATAGCTTTCCAGAGTGGWTGCACTAATTTGCAGGCCTACCAACAATGTATGTGTATACCTTCATCCTACCAACATTTATTATTACTTGTGTTCTTGATAATTGYCATTCTAAATAGAGATGAAATCTTAATGTAGTTTTGATTTGTATTTCCTGATGGCTAGAAATGTTGAACATTTTTTAATGTATTTTTCGGCCATTTGCGTTTCTCCTTTTGAGAAATGTCTGTTTAGTTTTTTTGCCCATTTACTACTTGGGTTGTTTGATTTTTTTTTTTTTTTTGGTATTAAGTTTTTTGAGTTCTTTACATATTTTGGATACTAATGGCCTGAGGAGCAGGTGACAAAGATCTTCTCCCATTCTGTAGGCTCGCTCTTCACACTCTTGTTTYCTTTGCTCTGTAGAAGCTTTTTAATGTGATGCTATCCCATTTATTGATTTTTGGTTTATATCTTGTGCTTTGAAACTCTGGTTACAAAAGAAAA